TATGAAGTGTGGTGTGGTGAGGAAAAGTAAATCAAGCCTGCCATATTAAAATATGGAGGAAGGTGAGGTGTGGTGAGAAGAAGAAACCCCCGTCCTACCATATTGAAGTATGAAGTGAAGTGAGGTGTGGTGAGGAGAAGTAACCCGGGCCTGACATACTAAAGTATTGAGGAAGGTGAGGTGACATAACCCACATCTGACATACTAAAGTATGACGTGAGATGAAATAACCTGGGCATGATATATTCAGTATGAAGTGAGCTATTGTAACTCAGGCCAGGGGAACCCCTGTTAAAAATGATTATACCTTCCACTCTTGGTACATTAGTGCGATCAGTAAGTTATAGACCATTTGAAACATCTAGTAAAGATTATGGTGTATAGAGAATTGTTGACCTGAAGGGCAGAATCTTTTTTTAACACTCCTCCCTGCATTGTGCACCAAAATTACTGCAGAAATCATTTTCAATTAAATGAATTTAAATACCAGAAAAGAAACACAAACAGTAAAAATTGTGGTATGACCCACTACATTGGAGGTAAGTAAGAAATTGTCCAAAGCATTGGTGGTCAGTGTAGAATCTGCCACTGCTCAGCAGTAACCCCAGTGTTCAACCGAACCCTGCTTGAGAAAGACTGTACTAATACATGAAGTGAGATAGGGGTAGTAAACCTAGGTCTGATGAGATTAAATTAATCTGTGTGGACATCAACAGGGTGTCCCAAGACTTTTTGGCACTTGAGACAGCGGTGTGGGGAAGCAACGTGTTCACAGGTTGCCAGGAGCTCGGCGGACGCTATGGCTTCAATCAAGTGACAAAGTAGCTCTATTATTTCACTGCACTACACATGAATAAAGAATTAGGCTCAGGTTCAATGAACTTCAGCATACCTTAGTAAATCAGGACTCATGAATCAATAGGTAAGATTACATGAATACTGACAGAAAATGGATATTTACATACGTGCATTACCACACGGAAATATAACAGATGATCATAGAACATGTACCCTGGGAATAGAGCATTGCACTCTTATACAAGATTAGCTGGCCTTTATATCAGGTCTCTTCATACTAACTACAACATGTCTCTAGCCTCCCTTTTCCTTTGCTATGCTCCTACCATAATATAGGAGAAGAATGAAGATCCAGAAGAGTAATCAGTATATGAGCCATTGATTCCATTTGTGACACGTTACAGTATATGAGCCATTTGTTGCATTGATACATTCTTTGTCACTTTTGTCAACTAAAGGCATTACATGCATATTTGTTATTTAATATTCTGGCATTTTTTAAACTTTTTCCATAGGGGCCTTACCTACTAAGCTTAGCGTCCTCTGGGCATTACCTGTTATGAATGTTGGAGAGAGGCTGTCATGTAATGAGACTGTCATGTAGCATTCTCTACTATACAGTAAACCCTGCCCTGAAGAGAGGCTGTTATTAAATGGGAATGCCTTCAGCAGAGGGACTAATTAAAATTGAGTCACTGGTGCTCTCAGGGTCGGATTTACTCTCTCTGCTGCCCCAAGGCCAGGTTCCTCCATGCGCCCCCCTCAACTCCAACCCCCGTCCCAATGGAGAATGGCAAACAGACGGCAAAGGCGGCAGGGTTGGTTTCAATTTTTTTTCTTTCTTTTTTTTGTATCACTTTTTTAGTTTTTTTTTACATTTTATATATTTTTTATGTTAATGTTTTTTACTTTTAGCACTTTTTAATTTTAATTATTATTTCTTATTATTTTTTACATTTTTAATTATTTTTTATCCATTTTTACTTAACTTTATTGCTGTCATACAGGAACTGTGTGATAGCATTTGGAGGTGACAGGTTCTCTTTATTGAACCTGTCACCTCTAATACAGGAGTAGCACAGCACTGTGCTGTCTCTCCTGTGACAGCTAAGATGCAAAGGCCACAAGTGCAGCTCTCCCGTCTCAATGTTTACATGGAGCAGAGTGGAGAACGTCCGAATGTGCTCCCCACTCTGCATCCTGAACTACCTTGTTGTGGTCCAGGGTCCTCCAGAAGAGCGGGGGACCCCGAAAACCATGGCGGGAAAGGAGGCAGCCAGTGGGGGCAGAGGCAACAGGATGTGGGGGCCGCACCATGGAGGGGGGACCTGCAGGCATATTACTAGTGATCTCGGTGGCATCGCGGGGATCACTTGTACTAAAACACCGGCTTCCCGGCTGTTCATTTAGCTCTGCTTGCCTGAAGCAGGGCTAAATGTAGAAAAAAAACTACCCGCCCAGCGGCTGTGCTGCCCCTCTGCTCCCCCAAAGCCAGGCCTCGGTGGCCTTGTGGGAAATCCAGCCCTGGGTGCTCTATCACTTTGTACAGGGTTACTGGTCTTGTATCTGCCCATCGTGTATTTCTTTATCACTTGTTACCTAGATGTGCAGGACTGTCAGTCCTAACAAAGGGTTAAAGATATCAAGGCTTGGGTGGTACATTGTACCTGTGAGACACAAAGAGTAAAAAATTATCTGATAGGGATCTACCCTTCCCTACACATTTAAAACCTTACAAAATACATTTTTTTATGTAATATTTGTAACTTTTTTTAGCACTTTTTTTATTTTAAAGAACTATGAGGTGAGTGATTTCCACTCACTTCATAGTTCTAGCCAACCTGTCACAATGAAACTGTCACAGGTCGGCTCAGTTGATCGGGAAGTGAGCGAACACATACCGGCGTTCGCTCACTTCTCGATCCTGTCACTGCAGAGAGCCGTGACAGGGGAGTGACTTGATTCAGATCCTCCAGCGCTGACTGGCGGAACGGACGGGGGAGGGTACAGCTGGCTCTGCCTCTATCACTCACGCAGCTTGGTGGATCCAGACATAATTGTCTGCGACGTTTCAGCTGCGGCGTCTCAGTATACCGCGAGCTGTAGCTTGTGGTATACTGAGCTTAGGGTGACGGGAGGACGCTAGTTTGTGTCCTCCCGTTACCCTTAGGAGAACTATGGGGGAAAACCCTAATCCCATAGTTCTCCTTTAATTATTATTTCTTAAATTTTTTTTTATTTTATTATTTTTTACTTTTTATCCATATCGCTCATCCATGCCTTTATGGACCTTGCTTTGTGCAGTCATGTTGGAACAGAAAGGGGCCATCCCCCAAACTGTTCCCACAAGGTTGGGAGCCTGAAATTGTCCAAAATGTCTTGGTATGCTGATGCCTTAAAGGGGTTCTAAACCCTCCGCTTTATTTGCCTATATCTACTGCTGGCAAGCAGTAGATATAGGAAAGAAGTTAAAAAAAAAAAAACCCGCTTGAACTGGTTTTAAACTTACCTTGTTATCGCTGCTCGCTACCGCACAGAGAATCAGGAAGTGATCGTACGGCCGCAAAGGATCTTGGGGCGGGCTCATGCGCAGTTCCGATTCTTGGCCGGGAGACAAGCACAGACGCAAGGTAAGTCTATGGACGCGTGCAACCGCCTGCAGACACCGCTGGATCGGAGAGACAGAGCAGTCAGCGCTGGATCGGAGTGACGCCGCACCGCTGGAGGGACACATGAAAACATGGGGAAAGAAGAGGAAGATCAGAATAAGAGACATAATTTGAGGTAAGTGCTAACATTTACATGGGGGGGAGGGGGGAAAAAATTTGTCTTTAATGTCACTTTAAGCGTTCCCTTCACTGGAACTAAGGGGCCAAGCCCAACCCCTGATAAACAACCCCACACCATAATCCCCCCCCCCCACCAAACTTTACACTTGGCACAATGCAGTCAGGCAAGTACCGTTCTCCTGGCAACCGCCCAACCCAAACACGTCCATCGGATTGCCAGACAGAGAAGCGTGATTCATCACTCCAGAGAACACGTCTCCACTTCTCTAGAGTCCAGTGGCGGCGTGCTTTACACCACTGCATCCGACGCTTTGCATTGCACTTGGTGATGTAAGGCTTGGATGCAGCTGCTCGGCCATGGAAACCCATTCCATGAAACTCTCTACGTACTGTTGTGCCAATCTGAAGGCCACACGAAGTTTGGGGGTCTGAAGCTATTGACTCTGCAGACAGTTGGCGACTTCTGCGCACTGTGCGCTTCTACATGCGCTGACCCCTTCCTGTCATTTTACGTGGCCTACCACTTGGTGGCTGAGTTGCTGTTGTTCCCAGTTGCTTCCAATGTGTTATAATACCACTTGGAATATTGACCGTGGAATATTTAGTAGCCTAGACATTTCACGGATGGACTTATTATACAGGTGGCAACCTATCACAGTACCACGCTTGAATTCACTGAGCTCCTGAGAGCAACCTATTCTTTCACGAATGTAGCAGTCTGCATGCCTAGGTGCTTGATTTTATACACCTGTGGCCATGGAGGTGAGTGGAACACCTGAATCCAATACTTTTGGCAATATAGTGTATGTGCTGTAAAGCACAGTAGTATCCGGAGCTCCCACAATGCTAGCTGCATGCCGCTGTGCTGAGCGGGTCCCCCTCTGCTCGCTTGGCGCAGCGGCAGAATATTATTATCAATGACTACAAGGCGTTCTCTGATTGATTTATGCTATGGGAATGAAAACACATAACACAAAATATAAAACAGGTGTTGCCCCATTTTGGCAGCAAAAGTGGAAGTACACTTAAAAAAATGGCTGCCAATGAGCTGCAGACCTGACAAGCAGTGCATCTCCAGTGAGGACCTGGAAGTCCGCGCATGCCACCAGCAACAGCCAACCTCTACCAGTCCTTGTTCCGGGCAGAGCAGCCCATGAAGGGTTAACAGTGAAGGGAGCAGAAAGACTTTAGGGAGAAGTCTCAGGTTACAAGGAGTGTAATGGCTGCCAGCAGCGGGAGATCCTCTTCCTGCATCCTCAGCCTCGTGTGTGCCGCTGCCAGCGCTGGCCTCGGAGATTCCACTTTAAGAGAGATGATGTAAAATACACAGAGCAGAGAAAGCAGCGAAGGAAATTCTGAAAGTTTACATGGTGCGATCCGAGAGGAAACCTCCACACTTCCTACATCTCTGCCCTCCTTCCCTCACTCCCTGCGCCGACCGCCTGTGATCTTCAGAGAGCCGGGGGGACCATGAGGAACACATAGGTAGGGATCGGAGCACAACTTCTATCACAACTTCTCTGCTGCTGTCATGGAGCTCTGTGACTTCCATGCCATTTCATCTTTATGCCAAGACTGTGCTAATGACACCGGAGAGTGTAGGGTGGGATCGTTCTTCTTGTACTATGCTTGTGGATCCCTACTGACACAGCTAGGGTTACAGGGCATGCTGAGACTTGTTGTGCTACAGACTGTGCAGCGACAAAAAGCCTTGTGTATTGTAGAGCCTATTGGCTGCTGTGTGTCTGCTTCATATCTCTAATAAGTATATCTGCATGCCTTGGGAGCTGAGAAATGGGCAGACATCCTGCAAGTTTCAGAGCATTACATGAACTTTAAGAACTGTGGGAGGAATTTATCAAAAGTGGAGCAGTTGCCCATGACAACCAATCAGCTTCTTTCTTCAGTCTGTTCAGTTAAAATTTTAAAAGAAAAGAGAGAAGCTGATTGGTTGCCATGGGCAACTGCTCCAGATTTTGTTTGTTTTTTTGATAAATTCCCTGCTGTATGTATTAAAAATGGTGTGTGTGTGTATATAACACACACACACACACACCTACCTCGATCAGTTGTATGCACTGCACTCCAGCCTTCCTCTATCATCGATAGGAGTCCGTCCACAATTTTTGCATACAGCAACAAAGAAGTTAGGCTTGGTTCACATCTGCGTGTTTTGAGAGCACACATTTTTGTGCGCGATCGCCGCATGTTGTCGAAATCGCACACAAACGTGCTTGCGGTGCCGTTAATTTCTAATGGCACCCCAAAGGTGGCCCGCAAGTGGCATGGTTATTCCGCCGCGTTTCCACGTGTGCAAACGAGCATAAACGTTGCAGAAAAAAAAACAGGTCCCGTGCATCGCACAGAAAGGTGCCACGTTTGCTGCACCTCCTGTTTTGCTGTTGTGCTGCACCGATATGACCCCATTGAAATTGTCGAACCCGCATTCCCGGGATGCGCAGATGTGAACCAGGCCTTAGGGTATTGCAGCACTCAGTCATCTTTATTTGTGATTCCAAATATGTCATGACATGATACTGCATTTTTTTATCACATGTCAAGACATTTTTGGAATAACAAATACAGAAGATCGTGTGTGTATGTATGTATGCAGACATCCCAACCTGCAAAACCTTATTTCAGGGTGGTGCCCTTCTCATTTCAGGGAGGTGCCCTTCTCATTTCAGGGAGGTACCTTCTGTTTTTTTTATTTTGACAACGGCCGTCGGCCACCGTCGCAATAAAAAAAACAAAACTAAATAGCAGGGGAATGAATAGCTAGGCTGCTATTGGCCTTTTCAAATTGCAATAGCCAATAGCATGCTTGCTCTTGTACCCACCCACCCACTGCTGCTGTCAATCAGCAGAGGAGCACCTCAGGTCCACCTCTGCTGATTGACAGCAGCAGCAAGTTGTTGTTATTATTATTTTCTAGGATAAACAGGTATTTTTCCGCTGAAAATGTACTTGGCTTGGAAAAAAAAAAAAAAACAAGACTTTTGCAACTACCACATCTAAGAACTGCTAAACTTTATTATATTACATTTTTATTCTCGATTTTAGATATCCTTTGGGGCTCTTGCACACGGCTGCGGGAGGACCGTACAGTGCGCATCCTGGAGTATTTCTCTTGCTGGGGATGAAGGATGTGGCTATACGGGTATGTACCCAAATCCCACTGTTTACATGCATACCAAGACATGAGCACGACCCTGAACTCAGAACTTCTGCGTTTCATGTTGTGCATAAGTCCCGGTGCGCATGCAAACTGTGTGATTAGGATACATACCCGTACAGCGGCGTCTTCAGCCAGCCTGTTATTAAAGGAGAACTATGAGGTGAGTGCTTTTCACTCACCTCATAGTACTAGCCGACCTGTGACAATGAGACTGTCACAGGTCGGCTGAGTAGATCGGGAGGCGAGCGAACATATACCGGCATTCGCACACCTCTCGATCTGGATTCCCCCCTCCACGCTCCGATACCCCCGCTACCCTAAGGAGAACTATGGGGAAAAGCCCTGACCCCATAGTTCTCCTTTTAATTTGTACAGGCTGCTGTATGATGCACCTTTCGCTGCTGGCTGGAGAAATACGCCAGGATGCGCACTGTACAGCGGAAGAGGCATGCGTCTGCAATAAAGCACATGCCTGATCGCAATTCTTAGCAAAATTTTTTAAAACTTTAACTCCACTTTGAATTATATGCAGACCAGAGTCCTCTGGCTCCCAAGACACAGATGCCAAAGTCTGCACAACCCCCAATGCATAGTGTGAATGGGCCCACAAGGGGATCGGTGTTTTAGTCTATAGGTTTAGTTAAAGGGATTGTTCACACCATAAACATTGAAATGTATTGGTCTTACTCTGTACAGATCAATCCTAGGGTACATAAAGAACAATTGTTTTATCTGTGCCCTGGTTACACCACAATATCACAATGCTGCACTGAGGTGGGTTGTGGTGCTCTTCATGCTGCATTTTTTTCCCCCCAACGCACCTCCCCTCATGTCAGCACAGCTTACTGCTCTGCTGAGGAGCATAGAGATAAATAAAATGTCATGACACTTCAGTAAAGTCGTCGTCCCCCCCCCCCCCCCACACAATGGACACACGCACAAACTAAAACAACCCATTTTGGCATGTGGGCCGATGCAAACAAGCCCAAAACTAATCTAGTATCGGCCTCTATGTACATCTGTAGTTACCATGGCGCTGCACATGTGATCAGCTGTGGCACCAGACATTAGAGGGTTTGAAAGTTCGGTTGAGAGGTAACATAAACGCACTGGTGGCTGTAACGGTTATTACCAGAGGCATGCTTTGAATGTTACTGTTTTGGGAACCTGATAAATCGGTGCATTTAGGTCTCATTCACACTATGGAATTTGGAATTCCTGTGGCAGGAGCCTGAAATCACCTGTTTGGATGCGGCCATTGTCACCATTCTAGTTAATTATCGGGTGACAGCGTTTGCATTTGAAAGCGGCAGTTCACCAGCACTCCGTATCTACTGTGCATCCCGGTATAGCGATCTGTCCCGGTTTAGCGATCTATTCCTAACCGAAATATTTTTTTATTATCACGTACAATGTGGAGTGCCAGCAGATTGCCACTTTCAAATGTGGCTACTGTCACCCCATCATTAACTTGAACGGGTGGCAGAGGCCGCATCTAAACAGCATATTTGGGATTCCTTCTGCAGGAACAGGAAGTGAGAGAAAATCCCTGTTGTCCCCAGGGTTACCAGAAAGAGTGTCCCCATTGGAAGATTTCCTGTTCTGGTGATAAGTCAACAATTTGGATTTTCTTTCACTGTCATTCATGGTGATAAGCTGTGGGGGTAAATAAAGAGGGTGGATTACACGGTGATAACCTGACAGGTAGTCTAATCCCTCTCTGCTCTACCCAAAACTTAAAAACAAAAATGTTTTGCCTTTTAGTTATACTTTCACAATAAAACAATAATGCTGTAAATGTTTTGCTGGTTCCATCATTGGACTGACCAGGTGCTTGGCAGGCAGTTCTGACCCGAGCCAAATGTCTCCCAAACACAGTAAGGCCTTGTTTTAGATATGGTGGCAGGGGGGCGGTAAAATCTGGCAGTTGATCTGCTTTTGATGGCCCATCTGAGGCCTGGTTTATATCTGGGTGGCCCGGGACCATGACCTGTTGATTTCAATGAGGTCATATCCACACGGGGGAAAAAAGGCCATGCACCTTTTTGTGCGACGAGCGACGCATGTTTTTTTGCAGGCGTGATTGCACCTGCGGAAACGCGGGCCAAAGCCGCACGGATTGCTAGCCACGATTGGGGTGCCATTAGAAATTAATGGCACCGCAAGCGCGGTTTGCGTATGTGTGCGATTGTGTGGTGATCGCGCACAAAACCGCGCGGATTGCCCTGATGTTAACCAGCCTAAAGCTAACATAGTGGCCACTCAGGGTTGTTTACATGCAGTGGCAAATTTTTAAAAGCATGTCGAGTGCCGCTTGCCGAACACGACTATTGCATTCATAGGGACCGTGTCAAAACCGCGTACCCAAATGAAAAACCCCTTTTGGGATAAAAGGAAAAAAAATGGCATTTAAAAGGCAGCAGTATTGCCTCCAAAGGCCCCATTCACACCTGACCGTTTTGTAGTGCGTCCTACGCTCGATGAACGCTCTACAAAACGGTCAAAAAAATAAATAGCATTGTAGTCAATGGTATCGTTCCCACCTGTCCGTATTTCCGCCCGTCCCGAGCGCACTACAAAACGGCCCACGCATGAAAAGGTCCCGGAGCGTTTTTTGCTGCGTATTGGTCCGTTTTGTAGGGCGTTTTCCATTTGTATACTGCCAAGTAGCCTTTGGAATCGCGCGACGGTCGCGCGTCTTTTTTACCGCGAATCGCGGTAAAAAACAGCGTGACGGTCGCGCATATTACAATACGCATAGGTGTGAATGGGGCCTAAATGCCGGACAGCGCTGCTCTACCGCCCTCTGAAAAGTTCTGGCGTGTACTGCATTTCAGAGGGACGGTGGAACTTGCCGCCTGTCTGAAGGAGAAGACCATACTGGATTGTACACCTAAAGGTGTCACTGTGCAGAAGGCCAAACATAAATCCCTGTTCAAACCGCATTTGTGAACACACAAGCTTTGACGTGCGTTCATGGAATGCCTCAAAAACACGTGTTGTGCTTGCGGTGCCATTACTTGTTAATTGCACCCCAAACGCGGCCAGAAAAATGTGGGTTTTTCCTGCTCTGAAAAAAAACCATGGTACACCTGTAGCAGAATTTGCTACATCAGCTACTTTTTCATTTTTGTCAGGCACACACACAGAACCCATTTAAATCAATGTGGGACGTGTGGCAAATGCATGAAAAAATGCTTTGATGTGTGTTCATGGAATGCGTCAAAAACGTGTGTCGTGCTTGTGGTGCCATTACCTGTTAATGGCACCCCAAACGCGGCAGGGAAAATGTGGGTTTTTCTTGCTC